ATTTTTCAAAATGACTATTAAAAAAATTTATATGATTAAAATAATTTTTTTATGAAAATACTTTTTTAAGACAATTTAAAAATTATAGATAAAATTTATTTTTAATAAAATAAGGTGAAGCATTTAACTTGGGAGAAGATAAAAGTTTAATAATTTATTTATTAGTTTTCCAGAAAAATATGAAGGGAAAATATTAAATAATTTATTATGTCATGCCTTCAAGCTTCTATATCTTCTTGGTGTTCTGTCATCAATCTTTCAAGTATTTTATTTTTAATTTTCCTCATTTAGTTCTTGTTCTTCAAATTATTCACATTGTTTAATTTGTTAATGTTAAATCAATTGGGATTGTTGTTGATGAGAATTGTTGTTTAATTTATGCTTAAGTTAAATTATGGATGAAATTATTTATAAACTTATTAAAATTTATTTATTTTAAATTGTAAAGTTATTAGAAAGTATTTCTTATTATCTGGAGACTGCCTCAGTTAAAGAAATTTTAATGGAAGTCCAAAATAATATAAATCAAAGACAAGATGCTTTTGAATAAAAATTCTACCTCCAACACTATTGTACTTCTAAAGCTCGAAGATGAAACCTCTAATTAAAAAGTATAATTCTTTTACCAGTTGAAGCCTATATAATGTTCTTCATCATCTTTTTATTTTAATTATGATATATCCACTTAAATTTTTAATTTAACTTTTTTTGTTTTGCATCTACTTTTTGTTTTCACATGTCCACCCATTTCCTTCTTGAAGATAATGAAGAACAATTGTCCAAAATGAATAGTGATAAAATTTATATGGTTAAAACATATTTGATATGAAAATAATTTTCTAAGATAATTAAAAAATTGAAGATAAAATTTATTTTTAACGAAAGAAGGGGAAGTATTTAACTTAGAAGAAGATAAAAGTTTAGTCATTTATTTATTAATTTTTGAGAAAAATATGGAGGAGAAAAAGAAAAAGATATTTAATGTAAACTAATATAATACATACTTATAAATCAATTATATATTTAATTATTTTCATTTAAAAAATAAAAAATAAAATTTTAAAAATATTTAAAATGTTTATAATGCAATTATTATATTTTAAGTTCATCTTCCTAATAAAAATAATATTTTTTGCTACAAAAATAGTATTTTATTAAAAATATAATACATATGCACTCATATAAATTATTTTATCATATTAATAAATAAAAATATAATATAATATACATGTATATCTTTTTAATAATATATTATTTGATATATGTGTATGTAGTTAGATAATATATATTTAATTTTTTATATAACAACTATAAGTGCATTTTAATTTAATTGATAAAGAGAGATGACTTAAGGTTTGAGAGGTGAAGATTAAGGACTCAAATCTTAATTTGGGCATATTTTATAATAAATATGTAAGCACGGCATGGCAAGCGAAGGTGTAGATATGGTGGGGTGATGTGAAGCGAGGTGTTAGATAATGTAGTATAAGATGGTGCATATATGGTGGGGTGATGTGGCACAAGATGTTAGGCAACATGAAGAGGCATGCACACATGACAAGATGATGTGGCATGATATGACTCTTTTATTTTTTTTAATGACTAGTCATCGCCAAAATGTGCACACAAAAAATCTTATCAATAATAGTTTTTGGTGACAACAAACATAATTTTCACTAAAAATATACCTCTAGTGGCGACTATTGCTGCCACCAAAAGTATTATCTTTAACGGTAACAAATATAACCATCACCAAAAGTATATCTTTATATTATCGTGACAGATTAATTTTTAACAACCACTAAAGGTATACTTTTGATGATGACTATATTTATTACCGTAAAAAACTATTAGCAATGAAGCCTTTAATGAGAACCTTTTAGCGGCTCCATCATTTTTTTTTTTAATTTGCGGTATGAGATGTAGAGAGAAGGAGAAGAAAACAAACAGTGTGTTAGAAGCCGTTTGCCTGATGAGTAATGACGTCTTATAACATAATGTATTCAATGTGCAAAAGACTACTCATTACTTAATCACTTAAAAAATTTAATTAATTAGTTAATTTTCTCGCAAGTTTTTTAACTTTGTGATAGAGATAAAATTGAGAGTTAAATGATTGTAGATTTTACTATATTTAAATGGATCGTATGAGGGTTCACTTGTGTGATTTAACTATTACATTTCACATGAGATTATAAAAAATCAATATGTTATGAACTCAATAACTAATTAATGCAAATCAACAACATATATCAAATTATTTCAATAGTTGAGACATTATCCAGTGCTACTGCAGCAGTCAAATTTATATGGTAGAGAGAGTATTTATTTTGCCTTATTTATTAAATAACTATATGATTTTTGTATTTATCTTTGTCCTTTTGCCCCTACTAAATATTGGGAATATCGTTATTAAATGCTAGAGTATTTTATTTTTAAATTAAGCATATTATGAATTTTTGGATAGAGTTAATGAGATTTGAGATTTTTTTTTAATTCCAATGAAACATGCATGCTAGAAGTAACTTATAAAAAGAATTTGAGAGAGTATCTTATAAGTTGCTATAGTTAGGGCTACACAAAGAACTGGACGGCATTCAATTTGACCTAACTCAAAGTTTAGTTCTTTCATGAAAAAGACTGGTTAGACAACTCATAATTCAATCTTGTCCAGTGATAACATAAAAATTAACAGGATCAAATTTGGTCTATAAGATTGGAAGATTGGTCCTATTAGTCCAGTACTCACTTAGTTATTTTTTCTTTTTCCTTCGCGAGAGGTAATAATTCATTTCAACCTAATATACTCAATTAAGATAATAAAATCACTTATAATCATAATAAATTCATAATAATTTCCAACAACAAAAAAAGTATTTCAGTTATAGTCCAAATGATTTAAATTTATAATTTCAACAAAAACAATACTTAACAAACTTCAACAACACTATATTACAGCAATAATTTAAAAACAAACTCAACAAATTTTTATGCAATCATCTCGTTAACATCAATTACATTTAAAGTATTTGTCAAACATAAATTAATTATAATTATATTAAATAAATTAATAGGACCATACTGGACCAAGTAGTTTAAATGCCCAGTCTCCTGTCCAGTCCAACTCAAAAAAATAGTTTGATTTTTTTATGTTTTTGATCATAAAGGACTAGTGTTTATATAGACCGGACATGATAGGATCATCTTGAGTCAAACTGAATCGGATAAGATCGAATGACTTTTGTACAGCCCAAGCTACAATGATAGACTTTATATTTGAGCGCATGGGAGTTGGCTTCGCACTAATAATTTTGAAGTTTTGACCCAACAACACCACATACTAGTAGTATTAACGAGCTTGTTAGGTGCAACATGTACATGTGATTAGACGGCCCTCTGATATACACGTTTCACTTGTATGTATACTTCGACTGTCATTTCTTTTTGACTCGAGATTTTTCTAGAGGCATAATGCCAGCTAGCTAGGTGAGGGATGGGCGAGAATAATATGAGACAATATGTATGAGACGCACGCACAGGCACAGAGACCACTCAATGTGAGCGCTCAAGTCAGGGAGAGAGATGGAGTCCAATGAGACCAAAGCTGATCTGGGAAGGAGGACTGTATTCAGATATCAAATGTGTGATCCCTAATTATCACTCGCCTCCTTTACTAATTTGTGGCCTCCCTTCTTCCATTATCCTGCTCTCTTCCCTACAATATGAGGATGACCGCCCATCATATTAGTCATTTTCACTTTCATAGTTCTTTATTATTATTTTCACAAACTATATATTGTGGTGCACAATAATTTAAGAGCAATGAATTCAAACAAATATAGTAATCATTCATCCTACTTTTCGCTGCTCATCAATGCACCGCCCTTCGTGTGCGTACATAATTTTTGTATAGTTAGCCTTCATGATTTATCCCTTAATTTATCGGTTAGTTATTTCACAGATTAGGAAAAAATGTTTATTGAAAAGAAGATGAAAGCGATTAAATTCAACTCTCTCTCTAGATGTAATGAAATTGAGGATGATGACAGCGGTGACAATGATGATTCTTATATTATTATTATTATCAATGAGAGAGCATAGCTTGTGGAGGACAATTTAACAATACAAGTCAAATAAAAGAATGACGAATCTCTAATTTCATCATCCAGTGTTAAAGAACTTGAAAAGCAGGCTTCATTAGATATTCCTATATTATTTTCCACACGTATTCACTCCCCCATCACCATCACTGGTATTTGGACCTTCTGTGTATATGCAGAAGCTGGTCGCGATTGAAAACGAGAAAAGTATGCATTTGCATGTTGAATAGTTTGAAGCCACCCAGTTATAGATAACGGAAAGGCACCAAATTATCTGAATGATTTTATAAAATAGTTTTATTATATTTTAACGTAACATCTCATCACAGCACTATTTTTTTTCTTCCAATTAACTAAAAAAGACCTCAGTTATTTATCGTTTTTATTTTGGACCATAGTAGATCTATTTCATATATAAATCCTTTATCTGAATTAATGACAGTTAGATCTTTAATAAATTTTTTTAAAAAAATTAAATTGTAGATATCAATTTATATAATTGGAAAGTCAGGCATTCTACTTAAAAATAAGACATTTAAATTAGAAAAAAAACTCTCAATTTGTAATTGAGATTCTTGTTTGAAATTATCTGATTCAAATTTACAATTCAATTTTCAAAAAATTTTGTTAGAATCTAACTATCATTAATGCCTCTTTTGAAACTTTTGAATCAATCTCCCCTTAATTAACCCTGTGAATTGTTTTTCTGAATTAGAAGAACAAGCATTCATGGCCTAATATTACAAGTGAGATTAAACCCACAACCCTCTACTTACCTGGATTGAGCCTTGTGAATTGTTATTTTAATACATTGTTATTATTTATATTCATGTGTGTGTCCTCCTTTTAAAAAAACTGATGTAAAGCATACATGACAACACACATGAACTATTGCAGATACATAAATTATTTAATTTATGCAAAACTGGCTGTCTGGCACTGATGCAGTAATAGTAGTAATTTAAAGAAGTATTGGGTTGATGAACGTATAAATAAACGTAATTTATTTAAATGCTAGAATTGAAGCCAATGGAATGAGAGGAGTAATTAGAAGGGTACGAAGAAGAGCAGAAAAAATTCGAGGGATTGCTGAAACTAGGGTTCCGAATCACCCATGGCACCATGTCTTCAAGCAGTCCTTGTGGGCCCACGTCATTGGTCGAGGGGAAGATAGCGTCCGTTTCTATGGGCTTCTGGCCGGTATGAGTATGACCTTGTTCACATTCTCGGCCTTCCTCATGGGCTTGGGCTTGTAAAAAGACCGGCCTACAGTTTTTCAATGGTGGATGGGCTTGATGACCTGGTTGGCCCATGAGAAAATATGGGTAAGCATAGTGGAGATGGAGCCCTTCATAAGTGACAATAACAGTGTCAGGCTCTTCACTGGATCTCTCCACTTGCTTCTTGGCACTGCACCTTGGGTTTGTGCACCTATAGTAGCTCCTTTGTTATTACAACAAAGAAACAAGAATTGCCGCCATCCAAGTTAGCTCCTTAGACAGTTTAGATTTAATTTTTTATTAAAATAATATTTAAATGTTAAATTTTAAACAATAAATAATCAAATTCAGACTGCAGTGAAGAAAAAATTTACATAAGATTAAATCAGAACCCTTCAAATGTTAATGTTAATGTTAGAAAACGAAGAAGAGGTAAAAAAGATGGGAAGGGAAAATGAGATAATTATCTCTCCCGATTAATTAGACAATAAGTATCATATTCACTTGCAAACTTAAATGTCCCTAGTTAACTAAAGTAATTTCTTAATAGTTATAATTGTCGGAGGAGAAATGAATACTTAACATCAATTTATTGTAAACAGAATACAATAAAAATTAATTAAAGTTATTAGCTAGAAACAAATTAAATGATATCACATGAAATGAATAGCAAAGTATTTCCTAGTTTCTAGCTCCGTCTATGAAATATGGAAAAAGGAAGATTAATTAGGACCAGGTATCTTAAAAAGGGAGATAGCTTAAGATGGATATGCTTCAATAGATGGTTTAATGACTTATACGTCGACCTAGGTACCTGTGATTCACTCTTAACTCGATTTGTATGATACTACCTATATCCGTCAAGAACAAAAACACATATAGGGTATACTCATTCTTTGATAATAAGTAAATATTCTCACATCACACATCACACATCACTAAACTATTATATAGAGCAATCATTAATGAGTAATGACAAGAAGTTTCACAAATTCAATTTGCATACAGTAAATTCTTAGTAATTAATTATTGGGTTATTTTCTCAAAGATACTTATATTTGTTAAGATATACTCCCTCTCGTTCTCTAATTATAAGACAAAGTTTCAAAATCTTATTTACATTGTTCATCCTAATTGTATCAAGTTACCCTTTATGATGACCATTAATTTAGTGAAGGGCAAAACTGAAAAACTGAAACTTTTTTTTTTCACTAGTTTAAGGATATTGACTGTTATTCCTTAAAAATCATGAAGTTGGTTCGCTTAACTTATAATTAAGATCAGGAGTGGGTACTAAAAAATTAATTTGATTTCACAAATTAACCGAAATGAAGTAAAATTAGCAAGTCGGGGACCAATTGTAAGATTAATCATCCCTTTAATTAAGTTGGTTGTTGAAGAACTGATAATAATTAAATAGTTTAAATAGTTACCTAGGATTGGGGCTGTTCTTGATAGATTTCTGGCCGTACTTCCTCCACTTATATCCATCATCGCTCAACCCATTGCCGCAGCACTTGATTTTCAGGCTATACTTGTTCTCACTCCTGCTCAAATTCAACCCTCTTTCCAACATGCAAACTCTAATAAATTAAATGGCACATCAAATTATTGGATCCTCAATATTAATTCAAGAAACCTAAGCTTATTTAGAAAGGGTACGTACCTGTGTGGTGATGATGAGAGGTGCTGGAAATATTGCTCTCTTTGGTTGGATGTCACTGACAAGGCATTCTCAATATCTGTAATGGTAGGTCCTGAGTACATGTTGGAGATGAACCTATTCATAATGGCTTGCTCCTCGCTTGATTTTCTCGTGTTGTAGTAACTCTGATAATCTGCATCTTCTGTTACCGCATCTAAAAATTCTCTCACAAGATCGTCTTCTTCTGACCAGGTAGTCCTCACAGCTTCCTCCATAGGTGTCTCAATCATTTTTTGACAGAGAGAAAGAAATTATGATGAAGAAGAACAAGAAGAAGAAGATAATCGGAAAAAGCGAAGCAGATGAGGAGGTGGTTGTGACGTATACGTGTTTGGCTCTCTTAACTTTAAAGTATAGGAGCTACTATACGGTTTTGTTTTATATGATTTCCCCTATTTTGACCTAATTTCTTTGGGATAATATAATGGATAATTTAATGATACAGCCCTACCATGGTAATTTAATTTAGTGGTAGATTATCACCAATTTATTTAGAGAATGAGTTTGTATATGTAGAGCATTTAATTTTGTATCAAACATGATGGGGTTTGATTTCCAAATTATATGTTTGTATGTATGTTGGAAGTTCAAGTTTATTTTTGCTGAAATATAATGCACCTAGCTCATAGAAAATATAATGTTAATTACCACAAACCAAACTTGGCCAATGTCAATTCGCATCCACGCTTTCAAATTCAATTCTAAACATTGATTTACTTCACAACTCAATTTTCAATAAGCTTAGTTATACTTTGGGTACTCTCTCTTTTCTATTTTAGGAGTATCTAAAATGGTATTAAAAATTCTCTAATCTTTTTATGGTCATAGTATTAAAAATAAAAGAAGTCTCATATCCAAAAAATATAAAATAGATGAATCCATACTTAATATAAGGAATTTAATACGGTATATAAAGCCAGTCAATTGGGGACAAAAATTAAAAAAATGAGTAAAGAAAATGAATGGATGAAAGATGAATTATAAGAAAAGAAAAAACCAGAATAAAAGAAAGAAAAAAGAAGAAAAGGAAGAAAGTAGTCGAGAAAATATTAGAGATAAAAAAAATCATATATATAAAAATTAATCATGAATATATAAAGTTTAAAATGTGTCTAATAAAATAATTTAAGTTATTTTGGTGAAATAAATTACCTTTAGACATATGCTTAATATAAAAAAAATCTAATATCTAGAACATTTGTAAATTAAATCCCCTTGTTTAGACATTATTATGCCGCGTGACATCACACGATCAAGGAGGTCATACTTCAATCACAGTACAAGGTCTCGCTTATCTAATTTATGATATTTTGCTGGCAGGTTGAGTTTAGTTTAGGGTGATTTCGCTTGAATGTATACTTGTCATTTCATTCGACATAACTCAATCAACTAGCACCTTATTTATTCGCAATAATTGACTAACTAAATATTTATTTATCAAATACTCGGAGCTACGGCAAAGAAAATTTCCACTGATTTCAAAGGCAAAAGAACATATATTTTATAAGTTCTTAGTGAATTTGATAGAAATGTACATGGTTCTTCTTTAATGTTATTTTGTCTTTGTCATAATGGGATCCATCGAATTCAAAGTTGATTGACCCGACCTCACCTACCATCCCATTTCAACCAAAGTAAAGAAGTCAACTCCCTAAAATAATTACTATTAAATTATTCAATTATGAGTGAACATAAAATGATGTATGTAGGAAGTCTCATATTAAATAAAAATTATACTTAATAATTAATATATAATAAAGAAAAAAAACTTATAAATTTAAGCTTTAAGGTTTTGAATTAAAATATAACATTCTTCTACTACTCTTACTTATCTCTCATCTTTCTCGTTCTCTGGCTATCGTCCACCATTCCTAACAAGTACATATCTTTTCACTTTTTGTATTTATTTAAAAAGCATGTATAATTACTCCCATGCAAATCGCAAGATGTCATATACCTCAAGTATCTTGAATAACAAGTCAAGCATGCAGATTAGATGATGCAGTGAAAAGTTGTCAAAAGCAAGTAAGTTATATTGGTGAATATGTACTATTGCATTTTGCTTGTCTCTTATGACTGCTCGTTGACTTATTTCCTCTCATCCGGAGATTGCCTCGGACAGAGGGAATTCTTGTTTTGTTGTTTCATGGCTTTGACTTCTCGTGTCCAGCCAAAAATCCAGTACCGTCCAAACAGAGCTAAAAGCAAAAACAATTAAGGCAATTTTTTCTCTAAAGCAAGAAATAAGTGCGGGGACCTCAAGGGTGACTGGTGAGAGTAAGAAGAGGGATAGGACAAACGGGTTGACTGTCAGAGTGGCCTTAATAATCATACAATAATCTCTACATATGTGTAATGTAATGTAGGGTAAGCTAAAGCTGGAACAATTTTAGTTGTATTTTGAATTGAATATGACAAGAAAAAACTTGATGGGGGCTGTGAATGTTTTCAAGAGACGGTTGAATGCTGAGATTGTCCCCAGCCTTGAATAAGAATTGATGGCAGGGAATGCAATTTTCTTGTCAAGTAAGAATCGGCATGGGCCTAACTTGCAAGCCCATCGTGTATTGGGCCAACCACTGATGCGATCCCAACCATGATTTGTGAGGGTAAGGAGGAGGCCGATTGGGAATTTAATTTTCAGGCTTTAAACATCAATGATGATTTCAATACTCCCGTCACATAAATAAATCTGCTATTTGGTAAAACAAGCGCTTAGTTCAACTGATAAGGAAATTCTATTAATTTAATTAAAGATTTTAAGTTTGAATTTTAAAAATGCAACAACATTTGGTGGCAGAGATTCTGCCAGAAAAAATTATAACTTGGCTCAATCCAAATCAGTCAGAGATTTATATAATTGAATATTTTATCAAAATTTATTTATAATTTCTACTCTTTATTGATTATTTAATATGTGAACTAAAGATAAAATTAGATAAAATGCCAATTTGGATTGTTTTAGGAAAAAATGGCAAAATTAACAGAGAAAAGGCCCAAATGAAGTCATGCGTTCGCAGACGTAACCAAGGGGAGAAGAATTGTTGTTTTCTAGCACCTGCCTCGCAGACATGCGTAGAAGAAGAGCTGTCCCTGCACATAACGTAAGCAAGCACAAAGAATTCACATCCTTTCACCACAACCGAGTGTGTGGTGAAGTGCTATGAAAAAAAAGGACCGCACGTTTACATCCCGAAGGTTTGACAATCTCCTGCTCACGGAGGAACAAGCGGACACGCACTCTTCGTTAATCACCCAAGCACAAACACGAATAAACTGTGCCTGACAGTTCACAGACATGAGGAATGGACACGTGGCAACTTCAGTTTAAAGCTAAGATAAAATCTAAATCAAATATATTAAAATATAGATACGACAGAGGCCTAATCTATCTGATTTTGGAACCCAACGATGATGAAATAATTATAAATCAACCTTCAATAATATCTCAAATCATTCAATTTTATATTTGAAAGCTAAAAAGCATATTACAAAATTTTAAAAAGTTCTTTCCAACTAAGAGTGAGCTTTCTCTCTTCTCTTCTTCTTTATATTCTATTTATGCTTTTATTAAAAATTGTATATGAGTTCTTTTTAAATTTCTAATCAAGATATGGAATAGCTTGATTGAGATAGATTTTTTTTATTATTTAGGTTTATTTATTCTTCCCATTGAACGTAATTGTTTGTCTATAAGATTTTTAATGTTTTTATTTGTATTTATCTCTCTTATTTTAATTTCTTTTTATATGGACAGTCATTTTATAATGTGTCTGTGGGATCTTTGAAGAAATGAGAGGTGAAAAGTTAACCTACACCTATAGAAAGATAGAAATAGATAATTAACTTAAAAATAGATTTAGAATTTGTTGTGACTTAGATTGTAACTTAATGGTTTATTTAAGGTCTTAATAGAATTAATGAAAGCTATTTCAACCTTAAATAAATACACCCTAATATCTTAAGAGGTAATTAGGATACCTTTACAACAATTGTTACTATAAATAAAGGGAAGCAGATGATTAATTGAATTAGGATAAATTATCTTAATAGGTTAATCTTGATTCCTGTTGCTTGTCTAATTGGTTAATTCATCATCTTTATCATTGTTTTTAATTTGTATTATTTGATTAACAACAGTTATCTCTTTTCCCTTTTGCGTTTGACTCCTAAAATATTCCAGTAATTATTACTAAATCAATTTCACACACTTAATCAGTTTACTCATTAAAAAAAAATCTACCTTTTAGAACTCTTTTACTTTCTGTCGGTCAAAAAAGAATTCTTTTACTTTCTGAATTATTCCATTCCATAATTCCATTGCAACAGTTTTTTCTTTTTTAAGGATTTCTCGAAGTACAAAGAATAAGAGAATGGCCTCTGCCACTAATTGAATTGATGCTAATACGACATAAATAATGTTCACGCATCCTACTTCCATTCCAATTGTACAGATCATCATGAGCACTGACAATGTGGCTACATAATATACATACATATATATTTGGAGCTCCTCCATTATATTTCTTTTGAACTCAAATCCCCATTTATTTTAATTTTAAGTTGCATAAACCTTATCTGTGTTAGGTAACGTAATCAATTGCTTTAGAGTCCTTACTTGATCTCTAGATACAGTAGACAAAAGTCATCAAAGCATAACTCTGTGTTTGAAATGAAAAGAAAATGAATGGTCATCTTTGAACATATGTATAGAAAAGTTAATAGATATACAAATTGGTTTGTCTGACAAGCTTTTAATGATAATTTTGATAATATAATTTTTGATGAACTACCATTTGGGTACAAAAATTGTATGATTTCTGACATGACTTAAATATTTTCTCTTACACATTTATCCACGGCCTTGTATGGAAAAAAAGTGAGAGAAGAAAATAGAGATAAAAGAAAACTAGGGAAAAAAAAGTAGATGAAAAAGAGTAAAGGACATTCCCTTGATAGAGTATAAAATATTTCCTTTATAAAATATAAGAATAAAAAATGTCTTTGTTTAACAGTTTTCTCCCGTTCCTATTTTCTTGTCTTGATGTAAAGAACGAGGTTGTATGTCACCTTCCTCTTCATCAGCCATCAACAACCTAGTCAAATGCCATATGTTACGCATAAAACACCCACATTTAATCTCTAAACATATGAAAAATTTGAGCTAGATCTTTTGTGTGTGTGTGTGTGTGTGTGTGGAGGAGGGAGAAGCATCATGGACGGCGCCGGAAAAGTCATTCAACTGGCAACGGTTTACTCCCAAAAATGGAGCGTCTCACGGATCTATATTGCTTCCTTTCCAAGACAATGCTAATTATTCAAGAAA